CCAGTTGCAGAACAGACAGACAGAGAACTCTGGTACTGATCGCAATGTGCAGAACAAGCAGAGAAAGAGAAAGGCTCTTGGAGCCGGCGAGAAATGGTCTCTCTCGTGAGTGTTGTCTCTCGTTCTCCGTCGAGGCTGTATCAGTAGTGCAAGGTTAATTAGAAATAATTAATACTATAGCAGATGGTAGACTTTGACTGCTCTTGTGACTGCTCACTACTCTGTGATTGCCACTACTGCAAACTGCAGGCGACAACCAATTTGGGTGGCGGTGGTGGACGGCGAGAGAGGCGGCAGAGGCGATAAAGCCACTGATAGGCCAAGAAGACATACACACACTGAGAGAGACCAACACAGAGAAAGACGGTGTCTGAAACGGAAAGAAGTAAAGCGAATTGCTGCAGCTGATGATGTTCGCAGACAAGGACAAGCGAAAGTCAGCCACTGTGGGAAGTGAGCCAGCCAGTCAGCCATTCAACAGCAAGTGGGCAAGTGACAAGTGGCAGCTGTGAGGCTCTGGTGTAGCACCAGCACCAGCAACAACATCAGCAGCGTGCACTCTTCTCTCATCAACTACCAGACACTGGCTGGTAGTGGCTGCTAACAACATAGTTCATACCATCATCAGTCTTTTTGCTCTTGCGGAAAATCTTCTTGAACGACATTTTGCCGATAGATACTGGTGGTGGCGCTTTGATGCGATGCGTTGATCGGCAATTGATTTGTTGTTGATTTGTAGTTGAAGTAGAAAGATTCGACGTGTGTGTGATCAATGATCACAAACTAAGTTGAGTCAACAGCCGAAAAAGTTGGGCAGTAAAGATGAGAAAGCAACAAAACGAGAAAAGTAAAAAGCGAAAGAGAATACGACTAGTTGCACTGGAGCACTGAAACAGACCAGACTGCTGGTGAGCGATGTCAGCCGACGATGCAAGTTGAGTCACAGACCACAGTGATACAACGGTAAAGAAGATGCGGTTGGTGGTGGCAGTGCTGGTGGAGGTGGTGCTNACGAGAAAAGTAAAAAGCGAAAGAGAATACGACTAGTTGCACTGGAGCACTGAAACTGACCAGACTCTGCTGGTGAGCGATGTCAGCCGGCGATGCAAGTTGAGTCACAGACCACAGTGATACAACGGTAAAGAAGATGCGGTTGGTGGTGGCAGTGCTGGTGGAGGTGGTGCCGGTGGTAGCAGAAAAGGCTCTGGCAGACTGCAGAGACGGGCACTCTGCAGATGAATCGGTGTGTCTATGTGGTGTACCAGCAGAGGTGAGATGAGGTGCCGTTGTTGGAATGTTTTACACAGGCAAACAGCCTCCTGTACAAAGGTGCTCCTGAGCTGGTGAGTGGCGTAGAAGAGAGAGAGGGAGAAGACGGTAGAGACTTTTGTGGTCTTAGGTGGCTGAGCAAGTCGTCGACGGTGAGCAGTGATAAGCAGTGATGCTGTGATACTGATAGCAGAGATGGCACATCGGAATCACAACCAGTGGTGCTGCTATTGTCGTCCAGGCTAGGCGACTTGTGACGAAATGGCCACCAGTCTTATATTACCACTGCACTGAATTGCAGACACAATTGATGCACACAATAATGATGGCAGTAGTGGCGGCTGCAGAAGAAGACAAGGTGGCTGGAAACAGGGCACCGCTGATAAGAAGATAGTGCACTTTAAAAACTTAAAACTACCATCACCGTCTACGGAGCATTTTCTTGACCAGACCACAGTGCACACCGCTAAGTTGAACTACTACAGTGGTCACCGAGGGGCACGAGATTGTCTCTGGTTGTCGAGTCTGTGTGACGTTGTCCTGGATAGAGGATGAAGTACAGCAATGACAATGAGTGCACAGTTATGCAGCTCTCTACTTACACTGCCAAGTGGCAGCCTCAGTGGAGCTTATCGAATTGATCATTCAATGGAACGGATCAATCGAAAAGGTGTCCGCGGTATAAGTGTAATCAAACTGAATCAATCAATGAGTAACTGAAGATGAGAAAAACGAAGTCAAGCAATGGGCACTGACACAGAGAGACACTGAAAGAAGAGAAGGGATAGCGATGTGCCACTAAAGTGAGAGAGTGGTTGTCTGGGCTGCTGCTGTTGCTTGATGGTGGTAATGATGGTTAACACCGCCTGCAGGAGTCTATTTTGCAGAATCATCCACAAACTTGTCCACACTATGTGTCAGTGGTGATGGTGGTGGTTGTCTCGTTCGTTCTCTCAAGGAGCGTCACGACATTCACGCAGTCATTGGGATGCAACCAGATTCGCAGATACACAGCGGAGCCTTCTCTCTGGCCAGTCACTGTCACCGGCAGTAGGTTCAGCGTCTACAGTGGCTGCTGCTGCTGCTGTTTGCCTGTCGCCGATGTTTGCCGCAGTATCGGTGTTCTGGTGGTGGTAGTGCGGCTTCTGCTGTTGAGGCTGGTGCCTGATGGAGTTTGTGGTGAGCTTGTTGTCAGTGGTTTCCCCTTCGAAAGGCAACGTGGCCGTGTACAGAGGACAAAGTGCCACAGCTGCTACTGCTGCTGCCTCAGTTATTCCGGCTGTTGGCAGCAATATGGCAGTGGTGCACCACTTTGCAGGACTCCAAAGTTGCGCCTTGCAACACCGTTCAGCATGGACCATTTGACAGAGTGAGGGCGAGAGAAAGAGCAGCAGTCAGGGAGGACTGAACACCGACACTGCTGCGAGCACAATAGCAAGTGATGCGAATGACTTCGAGTGCGCGCACCGATCTTCAATTGCTCATAGCGCCCGAGCTTATCAATCTATCGACAGCGGTAGTACTGGTGCCCAGAGTGCTGCCTCCCTTGCAGTGTGTTTGTGTCTGCAAAGGAGAGAGAGAAAGAGAGACATAGCGGGGTTGGTGGGACAACCAGTGTGGTGCTCACTGTGATCAGTGGTACGGCGACAGCAACAGCATCATCGGCGGCAATTATTATTGGTGAACATCACTCAACTACGATTGGATTGTCTTCACCTAATGATCACTGCTCATCGACGGCTCTCGTGGATTTCGTCTTGGTGCCTTCTCTCTCTCTCTTTCTCTCCCAGCAGCGACTCCAATCGATGCCTTCCACCACCTTCCCCAGCTCAACGACGAATATTCGATCGAGTAAGAAGGTGCCGTGGCAGTGGCAAGGCGCAGTAGTGATGATCGTCGTTGGCCTGTCTTCGTCCTCGTCCGACGACAGGACTCGGCAGGAGCAGCAGCGGCAGCAACGGCAGCCCTCGAAGCATCGCATTGATCGATTGTCGCAGCGAGCGTTACGTGCAACTGTTTGATTTGCTCTCGGCTCTTCCATTCACTGCATCGTTCATTTCATTTTCTTTCATTTCCTAGAAACAATAGTGCAGCACATGGTGCGCCATGCGCATCGCCCACTCTCTGTCTGTCTCTGTCTGTCTGTGTTGTCTCCTCTATCTGTAGCGCCTCGAACCGTTGGTGTGCCTCGATGAACGCTAATTGGCGAGCATACTTTGTTTCGGTACTCTGCTCACTCTGCTGCCATCACCATCAACCGAGCATTCTCTTTCTCCCTCCCTCGATGACATTGAAACAAATTGAATGATTGAGCAGAACACCCTGATTTGTGTCCACTCTGCTCGGTGTTTACGATCATGTCGAGTTGAAGGCTTCAAAAGGGTCGCCTGACACTGCTGGGCAGGAGAGGATTGACTTGCTCTGATAAGATATATTTGCACCCATCGAACCGTCTCCATTGCGTCTCCAATCTGACACTGAGTATCCCGGCGATGATGCACAGTCTCGCCACTGGTGGAGTCACTCTTCAGCGCAAACAACTGGGCATGAAACAAAGCAAAGCCATTGCGAAAGTAGGCTCCCTCATGACCAGCACAGCAGCACTACCCAACACCTGTGCACAAATAAACAAGAGACATGTAAATAGGCGTCTGCAAAGAGGTGTACGACTGCAGTGTCAGTGTGGATTAATCAAATATTATACCGCCAGGCAGGCGAGTACACAAACGACAAATGGCTGGCAATCGTCAAGGGGCAGAATTAAGTTGAATGACAGTTGTCAGGCGTAATGTGAGCAAAAAGCGAGCGCACTTAACTCTACANAAGAGGTGTACGACTGCAGTGTCAGTGTGGATTAATCAAATATTATACCGCCAGGCAGGCGAGTACACAAACGACAAATGGCTGGCAATCGTCAAGGGGCAGAATTAAGTTGAATGACAGTTGTCAGGCGTAATGTTAGCAGAAAGCGAGCGCACTTAACTCTACACTCTATAATTGACATTATCAGAGCGACGTGAGTCGCACTAATCTAGATCGAACCAAATGAGCCTTGGGTGTACTTGCTCGTGGTTGCGCCACTGCCGATTGGGACACTTCTCGTTCACCGGCAATGGTTTCTTTCCATCAGCAAACAGTTTTGTGTAACAAATAGAAGTGGTGTATGACAAGATTGAAGTTTTCAAAAACATTGCACATTTTGATGTGAGTCACTTTCATAGCCATTTTTTTAAAAATGTAATATATTCAAAAAAATTGAACTGTAGAGCTGCGACTTCACTTACCTCAATTACCTTGGTACTACAACCTTGCACTTTTGCCTGTGGAGCTTGACAAAATTCAATTTCGGATACACTTTCAATGAGTTTCCCTTTATTTATCATGTTTCAATATTCAAATAAAATAGGCAACAGTGCAGAATAAATAATTCACATTGTTTCTTCGGAAAAAATTGCATCAAAGCTACAGGGATAAACAAAAACNACTACAACCTTGCACTTTTGCCTGTGGAGCTTGACAAAATTCAATTTCGGTTACACTTTCAATGAGTTTCCCTTTATTTATCAGGATTCAATATTCAAATAAAATAGGCGACAGTGCAGAATAAATAATTCACATTGTTTCTTCGGAAAAAATTGCATCAAAGCTACAGGAATAAACAAAAAAATTAGTACAAAAATATACAAATCAGGGTCCAACTTACATGTGATCACAAACAAGATTCATTGTTGTTATGCTTTCTGAGCCTGCTGTTGTTGCAGTTGCTGTTGCTGCATCATAGCTGCCTTTTGTTGGAACACTTCAATAATACTCTGCCTGATGGCAAGTTTCTCTTGTAACATTTTGGCAAACTTTTCAATTTGTTCATTGAGAAACTTAACTTTCCTGTTAAAGTAGTCTACCGTGGACTTGCGATCCTTCTCAACAAAGTAACCAGTTCCGATGTCAACCAAAAAGGCGTTGTTGTTTACTACCTTTCCCGGCACATACAAAGAACTGGTCAGTGGCACCATAATCGACGTCCCATTCTCGATTGAATCAAAGTTTCCGCAAGTCTCGGTACAAACTGCAAACTTATTTTTGGCATTGTTCAGATCGACGATGGATGATTCGAGTAAGCCGATCTCCTGGAATAAACAAAAGAATTTTTAGCATAATTTGATGATTTTAAGTTTGAATATTTACATTATCAAGCTGCTGCTTGAGCGAGTTTATTTGCATGGGATGCATGTCCTTGATGTCGATCATCTTTTTTCCGTTGTTTGCCATTTTAATAAATTAGATCAAGGTGTTGATGTAATAAAAAAACTTGACAATAAAACCAACAACTTGGAAAACAGCCGCAAATTGTTTTTGATCACGCTCTGGGAGTCACGCTAAACCAACGTGATAAAAAGCGCTAATGCAAAATAGTAATTCCAAAAATATGCAAACAAGCTGTTTTTAGTTACATCAGACAAGTTTTGTGACAATTTTTAATATTTTGCACATTTTAGCTTTGTAACTGATTAAACATATTTTGGAAAAATTAAAGATAACCAATCTATTGAAAAAAGTTATCGAAAACATGTGTAATTGCTATTTCTACCTTGAGAGTCACTCTTCAGTGTTGTTTTGAGGACAAACCAAAAATCAAACAAACCAGAGTTTGTGATTCTCGTTGACCAATTTTGAGTCCTATTTGGTCATTTCAAGATGGGCGGTCACGACGATCACCACGGCCACGCGAAGACGTCCATTTCGGAGGAGGAGATTCGTAAGCTTCTGGCTCGTGCCGAAACACAGACCTTCTCTGAGGCGCCCAAGTATACGGCTGATGTCTGCGGCGGTGTACCGCAAGCTATTTTGGCTGGTCGATTCGAAAATGAACGTGCTCGTTTGGGGCCAGACTTTACTGAAGCTGATCGTCAGTGGCGAATCAAGTTTCTGGAGAGTCAGAACTTGCATCCATCTGAACCATTCGAGGTGCCTAGGCGCAAACTGAACCCGTTTCGCCGCTTTTACCGCTATCCACTCAATTTCCTCGAGGACTACTTGACCAAGTTTATGGTTTGTTTTGTCAAAGTATTTGTTTATCTTGCAAAGAATCTAATTTTAAGTTTTCACTGTACTTTGATAGATTCGACCCAAAGCTGAAATTGTTCGGAAAACGGTTGGTCGCTCAATCATGGGCTACATGCTCATTCTCGCCGGCTGGTACCATCTGAACTACAATGTTGCTACCTGGGAAACTAGTCGTGGTCTTCGAATTCATCACACTAAAGAAGTGGTTCTTCCGGGCGATATTCGCTACCCAATGCCCAATCCTCGAACTGAATCGTGGCAGCACTACGATAGGGCTTTCCATGAGCGCAAAGTGTTTCTTGATAAGTAATTGCAAGAACTAGTGTCATTTCAAATGACATGTGTATGTTGATATTATACTTTATGGTAATTAAAGTATCTAGATTTTCATTATCTGCAATATGAATTTCGACAAAGTGTTTCTTGTTTATCGTTTGAAAAGCATCCTTAAAAAGGTATCTAAAAATCGGTTTTTTGTTGTAATCGTTTTCCAGTGTACCACTTTTATTTGACAAATATTTTCACATTCAATCAAGTTTAGTTTCACTTTTTTTTGCTGCAAAAAGTTTAACTTTTTATATCGAGGTTTCTATCAAAAGACTTGTTTATATCAGATTCCAAAATAAATGATGATCGATCAATCAAGGAACCTTTGAGAAATTGTACATTTTCGAAAAGTTTTTACTACCTGAACAAACTGCCGTTAGATGGCAACACACGCCTATTAAAGTTTTAATTTTCAAAAAATGATTGGGTCATTAAATCATCGAAAAGCATTAATTTAATGATGATGTTGATGATAATGGTGCTATACGATAATCATCGACAAGGGTCAATGCCAGTTATGCTCTTCCTCTCTCCTCTACAAGTGTTCCCATTGCCCGCATACTCGACACCGGGTCAAAATTGAGGAAGACACTTTTGGGGCTGAAGCAATCACACTCACACAGTTATCGGGCCATTACTTTCTGACACCAGACACATTCATTTAGGCAGTGTACACAACAAACTGTCGACAAATAGTGCAGTGCTCAAAAAGCACTACGACCAGTAGCACGGCAGTAGCATCAACAGCAGCAGCAGAGCATTAGGTCATCACTGCAAAGTGTTTACCAAAGAGATAAGCGATTAATTAGTTTGGAAAAGAAGCGGAGAGTGGAACGTGACCACTCTAATGGACAATTGGCCACACTGGAGGAGAGGCGAGTGAAGTATCGAGTTGAAGTAGCGAGGAATCACTTGGCTTTGAGTTGGCAATCGACACTAATCGGATGAGGGAAATCAATTTGTCCCCTTGTTCATTGTCTCGCTCACAGTCGCACTCGGTGCTCTCTTCCATTCAGACACAAGGGCAGCTAATCCAATAATCCTTTTGTGCGCATCACCACTGGTCATCAAGTGTGTAAGTGTGTTTGTTTTTGATTGCTCCAAAATCANCAATTTGTCCCCTTGTTCATTGTCTCGCTCACAGTCGCACTCGGTGCTCTCTTCCATTCAGGCACAAGGGCAGCTAATCCAATAATCCTTTTGTGCGCATCACCACTGGTCATCAAGTGTGTGAGTGTGTTTGTTTTTGATTGCTCCAAAATCATTTTTTTCCTGAGAGAGTAAGTTTTGATATGTCCAGACTGAAGATGAAGTGAAGTGCCTTTCATTGTAAGTTGTCCAATGGTTCGGTAGCACAGTAAAATAGGTATCCTTCACTTTAAAGTAAGGTCAAAGTCGTTTTTGAGGAAATTACCGAACAATTAGGTGAGGCAGAGAGACATGCAGACATTTGCCATCTTAGAGCTGACAGCACTAGCACTAGTGCCACTGACAGCGTGCTTTAAATTTCACTTGCAACCACTGGCAGATCGATTTTGATTAATGGAATCTGCCTCTCTGTGAGTGTCTGCAAAATTGACAAGTCAATCACTGCCTGCAAGTCGATGCCTGGCCCCGATGCTGCAAAAAGGGAACTCAGCTTGCTGGTTGTGGTGGTGGTGGATTGCGTAGGTCGCCCAGACAGACACACTGACTGTCCATTCTCGAATGTCTGTACGTTTGCCATTAATGCTTTCTCCTAGTGTCCTCTTCCCTTGCCGCTTTACTAGTATGTAATGGACTTGTGCTGTTTCATCACCGGTGACATCGGTGCACTGAATTCGCTTCTGACTGCCTTGCTGCCCCGCATCTTGTCGAACAGCAAACGCGCATTTAGCATTTGCAGCAGCAGCAGCAGCAATGAGTTTTTCAAGTCACAGGCCAATTGGTCTTTGAATATATTTTTTTGTTAAAGTGTAATCACTTTTGAATGAATGATATATTCTCTAGGCAGGAGAGAAGACAACACCACCAGCATCACATGCACAATCACCACCACCCAAAGCGGACTTTGCATCTGAGAGCAAGCAAAGCACACTGCAACTACACCCGACGATTTAGTGGCGTCCAAGTTTTACTTTTCTACCCTCAGTCTTGCCCATCATCATACGGGCACAGGATACAGCTGCTTCTGCTGCACCATTCAATCGATTCCAACTGCCGGCATTCAAAGTTTCCCTGGCAAGTGAGGTTGAGCCGAGTATGAGTATTATCACCAGGATGAACACATTGAACACATCTTCTCTTCTTCATCGTTCCTATTCTTTCTCCTGTCTACTGTTGGGCGATTTGTCTGTCAGATGGCTATAGGCATTAGCGCCAGTGGCGTCTGTGTTTGGGCGATATGCAAACCTGGATTAGTCTGCCTGATGCGCGTCCACTAGACTAGTGCGGCCATTAGTTATAGGCTATAGTGTGTTTGAGGCAAGCATCGAGCGCCTCAGCAGCAGCAGCAGCCGCCTATTGTCGCCGCTAATACCTTGCTTTGAGTGACAGCTTGACAAAGACGAATTGCACTGTGTAGTGGAGGATCAAGTGAATGGCCACAATGAAGCCGGCTGCCTTCTCCACTCTGCAAACGCCACTCTCTGGCCCACCTCAGCGGCACTTGGCTTCACTGCTGCTGCTGCTGTTCACTTTGAAGGCGAGGGCCCGAGATGTGCTCACTCTCCTTCCTTCTCTCGGGCTGGACGAGTGGCTGCTGCGGCGGATCGGTGCATTCGATGGTCGTGCAAGTTGGTTCTACGGTTTGGCTCTCTCTCCCCCTCTCGCCAGTATCGACAGCGGGTTCCTGTTCACACACACAGCGGTCCATGGTGCATAAACAAGGCAACATCAGCAGCAGCAACAGCAGCAGCGACTCGCACAGAGGCCCAAATGTCAAAAGGTTACGAATATTAATGATCTGCCTAAGATCTGGCAGCTTTGGCCTGTCTGCTTACTCAGGCTGTCATCTTTGTGGAACGATTTCGAATTCAGCCAACGCGTGGTTGACATTTGAAAGGGACGCGGTACCAATGCTGCTGCTGCTGCTGCTGAGAACAGATAAAGAGAGCAAACGAACGAGAGCAAGTAGACTTGCGATCCAAAGCAGCCAATTTAGCCAATCGATACAGAAATTCAGAAAGACGTTTCTGGCCTAACGGACAGCTAGCAAATTAATTTGGCACTGTGCTTTGTGGCTTTTGATTGTTATGTAAATGCTGTCGTCGTCGGGATGAGCACACACAAACACAAAGCCTTACCCGGCGTTAATTGCAACACCTCGACATAAATCACACAAATGAGAGCCAATTTATCAAACGACTTGTTAGGTCGCATGTTTTGATGTCACGGAGGCACCGTCATACTCACTCAACCACTCTCTCACTCACCCTCACCACAAGCCAAATGACAATTGTCAATTGGCAATTGCCCTATCTTTCTTCTCTCTACTTTTCTCCCTTCACTACAACTTTGAGCTGTTGCATTAAAAATGCACCTTTTTGATTGAATGCTTTACGATGACTGCTAGACTCGTAGGCAGTGGAAGTTGCGTCGCTGCTCATCTTCACTCCGGCGACAATTGCCTGGCATTGGGTTATTTCTCAATTGAGAGAAGGAAAGAGAAAGACAGGATGAGCGAGTGGATCGCAGTGCCACTGTGCAGTCTAACTTGGTGTCAGTTGTGCTCCGAAAGTTGTCTGTGCATCTATCTTTCTGTGTATCTTTTTCTCTGTTGTCAGTGTCCTCCTTCGACTACTGACCGCATCGACTTGTCAGAGCACTGCTGCACTGCGATGACTGATTGCCCATCAGAGATTGAGATTGAGTCTACCAGGCAAAATCTGTTCTCACATCACTGTTAGCACACACTCAATCCCGCGACTAGAGGATGATCACTGAGATAGACAGAGATGCAGAAGCACATTTGCCTCTCCTGCCTGTTCACATATGTCACATTGGTGCACGATCTACCAACAACACCAGCAGCAGCTTCCTGTCAATTGATTTCATTTGCAGTGCTAAAATGATTGGGCCAGAAACTTGGCTTTTTAACTTTTCTAAAACTGCCATTTACAATTGTACAAACTCACAGTCGCACATGAACTCTCTAACCCTCGGTAATTAGCTTTACTTTATCAGTGCTCAACTTTTAGCTTTGCCAACACTTTGGATAGCCTTTGGAATAGTCGATTCAGGAGGCGCACCAAACAGCCCAGGAGAAACAGAAGCAGCATCAGCAGCAGCAGCGAGGAGGCATTTGGCCCAGTTGGCTGGTGGTGGGCACACATTCCAGAAGGGCGCCGTCGTTCGTCCCAGCGCGTGTCTTGTCTTTCGCCAGTGCTGCTCGGCAATTGATGATTAATTGCACCACCGAAAATGACATGGCAAATTTAATTTACTGCCAATCAAAGCTCAGCAATTCGGTGCAGACCGCTGCTTCAGTGCCCCACTCCACTGCGGCAATGAACGACTCTCAAAGACTGAATCAGCTCGGTTGAAAACTAAAACGCGGAGGGTGTTTAGAGCCAGACGACCTACGACCATCTTGCGCAAATCAATTTTTAAAATTGTTGCTTACTTAGCCGTCGTCGGCGTCGGTGTTACAATTGTCACCGAAATTACAAACCAGCACTAGGCGCCAACATTAGTAGCAGAGGCAATAGTAGCAGTGTTGTTGCTAATATTAATATTAACGACAACGGCGACGGCAGCGGCGGTGGCGACTAATGCGCACTCCCTATTATTTGCATAGTGCCTGCAATTAATACTAAATTATTGATAGGCAAAAATTAATAGGGACTAGGGAAAGGAGATTAAATAATGCTACCACAAGGTGAGCAACCTTCTGCTGCTGTTGTGTTGTTTTCGTTTTTAGCATGTTTTTGTGGCCATCACCCTCAGTCTCTGACCTGGACTGCCTCTTGCTGCAGTGTATATGTGTGCTTTTGTTTTGTTTTG